AAGAATATTCAATTCAATATGTGGTGGACAGTTGAGAAATTATGTGTTATCTAGGTCATGGAAAAGCAACTTGTAAAAAGAAAACATTTCCTCTGAGGTTTTCACAAATAAATAAAACTGTGAACCCTCGTATGTACTGTGAAAGGACGATTTGAGGAGCATCTCTAATTAGCAGCAGGTTGATTATTCTTTCCTCATTTCATGTTGTACTTAGTAAAACAAACCATACTTGTATTTACACACATTCACTTACACTGAAGATGCAAGATGAAGAAAGGTACATGACATTGAATGTACAGTCAAAGAAAAGGACTTCTACCCAAACAGCTCAACTTACATTTAAAGGTATAGAATTTAATTTTGTTTTTCAATTGGTGTGAATTAACATAGTAGTTTTCCACATTCTCTTCTATTGTGTTATCGGACTGTTTCATTATTTGGGTGCTTTTCTTTCTCTGTCTCTGTATCTTTCTTCCCTTCCCTCTCTTTCAATATTAATAATGATTTAAAAATAACAACCACTCTTACCATTTAAGAAACACCAGTTGCAGGCACTATACAGAGTGTTTTATCTATGTTCCTTCATTTAATCTTACAAATTTTCCATGAGATACTCTCTCTCTCTCCCGTTCATCAATGTGGAGCTAACGCTTACTTGTAATATCTTGTCTGATGTAATTTCTTAAGGACATTCTCTGAGGAAATATGCATACTTAATTAAAATTAATAATTTCAAATTAGTGAATCTTTGGTGCCATTCACCTCCTTATCATTCATAGAATATGGTGTTTTAATGCTTTTTTTTTTTTTTTAGACGGGATTTCACTATTGTTGCTCAGGCTGGAGTGCAATGGCACGATCTCGGCTCACTGCAATCTCTGCCTCCCGGGTTCAAGCGATTCTCCTGCCTCAGCCTTCTGAGTAGCTGAGATTACAAGTGCCCACCACCACGCCTGGCTAATTTTTTTTTATTTTTAGTAGAGACAGGGTTTTACCATGTTGGCCAGGCTGGTCTTGAACTTCTGAGCTCAGGTGATCCACCTGCCTTAGTCTTCCAAAGTGTTGGGATTACAGGCGTGAGCCAACGCGCCCGGCCTTTAATACTAATTTTTAATTCAACTTCTCTAAAACTTTAAAATATGCTCTTCACCAGGTTGCCTCAAAATAAAGTTTATGCACCTGCAATCAACAATTTAATTTACTACTTCAAGCATACCCTCCATACATAGCGCAATTCCATCATGCCACCTGAATGTGATATGGCAAAAGAGATGAGCAGAACTTAAAGACACAAATAACCACAGTTATAGAGACTGTCTGTTCTGTTCTATTGCTTTCTAAATATTTCTCTTTTAATAACTTCACCCATGAAAATGTTACTTATCTCTTGACTCCTTCCGCAAGTATCATCCATCACTGATTCATCTTAGAGTTACACACCTGCTGTGTGTAAAAAATTTATTGCTTCTTTCATGTCAATTTTTACAGATTCCCATATTTTCAAGTCTTTACTTCCTATGCTCAGTTTTTATTTCCTTTTTGGAAACTAGAGATATTAAAACTGAAAGACTACAAAATATAGTGACTTCTCTGCAGACATTTTTCCACACTCTGTTCATAAATGTCTTTCTGAGGCAAAAATGTGCAGATTTTCAGCTCCCAGATATTTAAGCAACACAAGCTAATATTTATGTCTTGCACCTTTAGCTAATATTTATTAAAGCTTGAGGTAAGACATATCTTACGTGAGTTAGATTGACAATTTGAGCCTTGGGGTTATGATGTTCATTCATATAACTTAATTTTGTGATGTCATATTTGTAAATCTTTTCTCATATATTGAAACATCTTTGTTGCCAGGGATAGTAAGAAATTACATAGCTGCTCTATCCCACTATGCATATATAGTAGTTTCAGAATCACTATAGAAATAATATTATAATAAGATAGATAGTTAAAACAGATTAAAATGTTTTGCAGGTTTAAAAATCCTTAAGATATATTCCATTGAGCATGCACCATTAAATGTTTTAAAATCACTTTAAGTAATTCCTCTCTCTATAGTGAAGACACTAGCAATACCTAGTTGGATTCATTTTCTTCATTTTTTATGGATTTTTTTCATTTTTGTTTAATTTATTTTATAGTAATGTAAAACATTTACATATTTTCAGTCAAACTTATATAATAAAGGGCCAAGTGTGGCAGCTCATACCATTAATCCCAGCACTTTGGAAGGCCGAGGCAGGATGATCACTTGAAACCAGGAGTTCAAGACCTGCCTGGGCAACAAATGAAGACTCCCATCTCTACAAACAATAGAGATAAAAACATTAGTCAGTCATGGTGGCACATGCCTGTAGTCCTAGCTACACACGGTGCTGAGGCGGGAGGCTCTCTGAGCCCAGGAGCTCAAGGTTACAATGAACTATAATGGTGCCAAGCTGCACTCCAACCTGAGCAACAGAGTGAGACCCTGTTTCAAATAAATAAATACAAAGTTAAAAAATTAAAAAAATTACTTTCAGAGAAATCCACCTTGCATAAATCCAGCACCCTTCATAAAATGGTACCATTTTGTATTTCTATATTTTCAGTGTTTACTTAGCTATTCTCACTCTTTTGTTCTTCCAAATAACTTTATAAAAAATTATTCAGGCTCACTCACCACAAACAACAAAAAATAAAACGACCCGATGTAGCTTTTACATCTAAATTACTTCCTAGTTTGTCATTCAACTTAGGGAGAATTTATATTTATGACACATAGTTTTCTTTTCCAAGAACATGATCAAATTAATATTATTCAGTTTTCAGTTAGTTTAGTTTAGTTTTGTTTGTATTGGGTTGGGGCACTTGTCGAGTTTCTGTCTAGTTTTCTTTTTGTTTGTTTGGTTTTTTTGGTTAACTGTCCATGAGTAATGAATTTCTTTCATCTATGTTTTCATAGTGGTTACTGGATTATACAGGGCACTGATTTTAGTATGTTATTTTTATAAATGCAGCTACTATTTTTTGTTCCTGGAATTATGGTATTTTTTTCAATTGATTGTACTCATATTACCTTCAAATAATTTTACCTTCTTTTTCTAATATTTCTACCTGTAATTAGAATATTTTTTCTTCATTGCATTATATGTTACCTCTTCATATTAAAAAGTAGCGGAGATTTGAGGTATCTTTCTTTTTCTGGACGTAAGCAGAAAAGCTTCTTTCAGTTTTCTCAATTCAATAAGATGTTAGCTTCATTAGACATAAAAGTATTATGTTGAACACGTATCCATTAATTTCTGTTTTTTAACATAAAGGTATAAGATTTTATCAATTTCATTTTTTACGTCTATTGAGATGATGACAGATTTCTCCCTAACTTTATTAATATAATATTAACATGGATTTTCTACTATTGAATAATCTTTACATTCCTAGAATAAACCAAACATGGTTATAATATATTTTGGTTGCTGATAATGTATTCAACATTTTTGTATAGACATTCATAAGACTGATTTTGGCTTTTTATTTTATTATTTCTGGTTTTGAGTGGTAAAAAGGCTTGTGTTTTGACCATTATAAGTTAAATTAAACCACTTCCTTACAGGAGAAAATACGAGAGATTAACATTGAATGTTTACTTCTTATCTCACATTATTTTTCTTGCATATACATTCTATATAAAAAAATCTTTTTTACCTCATTCTATTTTCTATGATTATTATTAAGTATTAATTTTTTCAAGACATTATAGAAGATCTCGCTGTGTCCCCAACGTTGGAGTGCGGCTAGGACAGAATCTTGGCTCACTAGCTAACCCTGTCAGTGGCTTGGGAGAAATAAAGTGTGAGTCTGGATTGAATTTCAACTGCCTTCCACAACTTTTTTTTTCTAATTGTTTTCTGAATAATATTTTTAGTTTTAAAAATAAATTATGACATTTTAATACAGCCGATAGCTGATTTCTTGGAATTTATTGGCCTTCAACCACTAATTTTATATCATATCAAAACATATCAAACCTCACCGCAGAAATGTGTAGTATGGCATTGAAATGAATATATACGACTAAAATTACTCTTAGTACGTAATGCGACAATAGTAACTATATATCTAGAAAAAACCTGAAAACCACTATACATGTAAAAGGAATAAGGTTATAATTCTACATAGGGTTCATCATGTGCTTTTCTGATCAGGGGCTTGACAAGCTTCAAGACTGTAGCTTTTCTCTATTTTTGAATGCCAGGTTTAAAGGTGTATAATAGAATATGAAAACTTCTACAGCATTAGTCGATTGTTGATGTTTCTATTGAATCTTTTAACAAGAATTATATCTTTCAGCTACAACAAGAGATTTCTTGATCATTATTATAAAAGGATATTACAATAAATTATCTTTGATAAGGACAAACAGTATTCACATAAAGTATAAGCTCTTCGCTTTTTATTTTCAGTATAGACATAAAATACAATTCATGAGCATTGTAATTTCATTAATCCTGGATGCCAGGTCAGACAGACCTATAAATCTCTCTGATGAGACTCTCTAATGTCTGTCCCAATATGATATGTCAGTGCTTCTTGAACAATGTGGATATTTCTTATTGAACATCGGACTCAACCTTAATTATTTTTTATGAGACGGATCCTCGCTCGTGTGCACCAGGAGCTGGAGCTAGCAGTGGCCGACAATATTCCAGCTCACTACCAAGCTCCGCCCTCCCGGTGTTCACGCCTTCTCCTGCCATCCATGCCATCCCGAAGTAGACCTAGAACTACAAGGCGCCCGATATCACCCCCTTCGCCCCAAAAAACTAATCTTTTGTTATAAAATGCAACTTTTGAGTAAAGAGATTGGAAGGTTTCACGCGATGTTAGCCAGGATGGCCTTGAATCTCCTGGACGCATTGTCGTTGATCCCTATCCTGGCGTCTCGGCCTCCCAAAGTGCTGGGATTACAGGCTTGAGCCACCGCGCCCGGCCAGGACTCTTATTTTTAAACTTGACTGTGTAAATACATGAAAAATAAAGCAGTTCTTAAAAGTTTACCATGTAATAAGAATATGAAATATTATTCATGACTTACGAAAGATTTTAGGGTTTTTTTGATTAGAATAGCAGGATACCTAAAGCCATATTTAGTTCTGATTTTATCCTTAGTAAATAAAAAAGGCTCAAAGGACTTGTAAATGTTATATTAATGATGAATTAGAAGGTGTTTATGTGGATATACATGTATTGTCTGTAAATGCATGTGCATGTGCGTGAATGGATGTGTCTCTGTAATGGTTGGAAAATTATTCAATATATAGAGTAAAATTATTTCTACAAGTTAATAATGTTAAATATTAGCAATTTCTTAGGATTTGATATGACATGAATCATAGCTTCTGACCATCCAGTGTTATCGTTATTAAATAAATGTATATATTTTTCTATTTACTTAGTCTTCATGCTTTTGTTTGCCTAATATCCTTTGAAACCCAACCTTATGTATTATACAATCCTATTATTACAATTGCTATTATATTACTCCCTGGAAACATACTTTTCTAAACTAATTCATGTGATTAATGTCTCAGATTATTCAGTGGTGTTGCACTGGTATAAAATCTTACTGGGAATATCTGGAACCCTGAATGGTATTCTGGCTTTGACTTTGATCTCCCTGATCCTATTGGGTAAGTTAGAAGATCTTAATTAAATAAAAGTATGAAAGATGTTTACTTGTTTCTTATAAATCTTTTTATAATTATTCCTTCATTCTTCATGACATTAACCAAGATTGAATTAGAAGCTACTGCATGTAAAACTCTATTAGCACACTACACGGTGCTATATTTAATATGCAATCAAATCAGGTAAGTATCTTGTCCTCAAGTGGCATACAGTCTAATACGGAGAAAGGAGTGTATGTGTAGAGTGTGTGTGTGTGTGGATGTGTGGTATTTGAAACCATTTTTCTGTGTTTCTTAGATACTGGTAATAGATACAATTTTACTGTTTTGCTTAAACATTTTAATGCATTTTATCTAAGGTTGTATTTAGTTTGCTTTTCCTTTTGTCCAACAAATATTCACTGAGCAACTACAATACTCCAAATATTACAAATTCCCCAAAACTTTTAAGAAAAGAATAGTCAGGGTGAGGAATGTTATATTCTAGTGGGAGAAGCAGATATTAAGTAATTATGTCACAATGTGCTGAGTACAGTATTGGAGGTTGCAGCAAAACATTAAGAAAGGATAAAAAGAGCCTATACACTTCCCAGAGCAGAAACTTGACTTTATTTACTATTGTATTACCAGTTCATAGGAATGCCTGGCATGGAATAAATTCTCACCAAGTATGTGTTGTATACATGAATTGATTGCGTAAGATTTTGAATGCTTTCCATCCGTAGACATGAAAATTTTAAAAAGATCCTAGTGACCCCTTCAATTATTTCTTGTTCCAATCATCAGAATTATCCCGATGAATGTGTCTCTGAGACATTCCACAGAGAACATATTTACCTAACCTTAAAATATTCAAGTTTCTCAGGGAGTATTGCTAAAATGCCAAAAAGGAAGTCATTCAAATACCACCGAGCATGAAGATATTGGAGACCTAAAAATGAATAACGGCACAAGAAGAAATACAAGTAATAAGGACCTTTGTGTTTCGAGATCTGCAGACCAGACAGGTATGTCTCAAGGCTTTGGCTTATCCTTGTTTTAATCTTTTGGACTCTCTAAATGTTGAGCATTTTTGAACAGGTATGCAATAGATTAAACTAACATGTAAAGGTTTGGTATAAATCTACTTTTTATTCAAAACTTGATTTAGATTTTTTTTTCTTTTTCTTTTTTTTTTTGAGACAGTATCACTCTGTCACGCAGATATCTTTAAACTTGTTGCAGTGGGAGAAAAATTGTAAAACAACATAAGAAATAGACTCTTCCCTCTAGGAATTTAAAATCAAGTTGATACATACAAATACGGAAAATTAGTTGTTATTAAAAAGCAGTATGTAAATAGCCATTCTTGCTTGTCACTTATTTATTCTTCTTTTTCTGAAATACGGACTGGATAGAAGTCAATATTTTAAAAGTTATTCGTTATGATTTTAAACTTAGACTTTTAAGCTTAGAAATTCCAGTCATACAGAATTTTGATAACATTGCCTTCTATTTTTAAATGTTTAAGTTGAACTTTTAAATACTTAACTGATAATTTTGACATTTATTGTATTGTATGAGATGATATATTATGACTTTCCAGATAAATGCATAATTATTATAAAAGGATTTTTTCTAATCTGCTAGTTCATATTGCCTCCTTTATCATACGTGAAAATTTTACACACTTTATGTTCTACTGATTGACACTCTCTTCATTTGGCTTATGTGTCTGTTTCACAGGTATACGTCCCAAACCAAGAGAGATATTGTAGCTTTGTCTCATATTTTATTGTCTCCCTATCTCTAATGTCTGTCATTGTGTTGGGTATCATTGCAATAACACCTTAGAAAAGTTAAGGCGGCTTTGGTAGGTAAACATGGAATCATATACATGTCATTAAACATTAATTAAAGTAGGGTATAAATACTGTATATTGAGCTATAATATATTTATTTCCTATTCCTTTTTTTAACTGAGGTACAATTCAAAAACTTGAACCTTTAAAAGTAAACAATTTCATGATGTTTAGAACCTTCAAACATTGTGCAACTACCATATTTATCTAGTTGAAAAACTTTTCCCAAAAATAAATCCCTTACATACCCAATAAGCAAATCACTCTCCATTCCCCCCGCATTTAGCCTCTGACAACTACAAATCTTCTTTCAGTCTATACGGATTTACCTCTTCTGGATTTTCAGGTAAAAGAATCACACAATATTTGGCCTTGGGCTTCTTTCACTTAGCATAATGTTTTTAAAGTTCATCCACATTTTATTCCTTTTTATGGGTGAATAATAGTTCATTGTGTGTATATATCTGTAAATATAGAAACATACATATTTATATGTATCTCTATATCTATAAATATTGATAGTCATATGTATATCTGTAAATATAGATATGCACAATGTTTGTGTGTGCAGAGCTTAAAGGTCAGTCCGATGTGAGATCTTAGGACCTTTTCAGGTGATTTCTGAGCATGCACCCAGTCCGGGGCTTGTGCCTGGCCTTCCAGATTTTCAGGATTGTGTGGGAGCTTTTCAAAGTCCTTATTACTGAAACAGCTCATCCCCCAGCTTTTCCTCTCAAGCTTTTCAGTTAGTCCTGTTGTTTGTTCCAACTATTGTACGTTGCCTCATGTGACAAAAGCTAACATATTTAACTTAATTTTTACAAATATCCTTTGGTAGCCTCATGGCAGGTATCTAAGTCTTCTTTACTGGCAGTGATATCTACTGCTAAAACAATTCAAGAGTCCATAGATGCTCTGCGTTTCATGGAAACTCATGAAAGACAAACTGAGTTACTGTTGTCTGCTAATTCTACAAATAACACCTCACCTGACTTGAATCAAAATCACCACTGAGAGCAAGGCCATCTCTTTGCTAGGCCAAACGCACAACTTACAGCCAGGCCCCTGGTCCAGGGTGAGCCCTGAGAAAAAGAGAGTTTATATTGGACCCCAAAAGACAGGTGGGTCCCAGGTTGGATAATCTCTGGTAGAATGATGAAACAATTGCAATACTTACTAGGGTTGGATGACAACAGTGCCAGGCTTCTCCCTAGCTTCTGGAGGCAATCTTTCCTTCTGCACCTCCTTCTGTATCCATGAGTAGCAGGACCCCACTCCCACATAGGGATATGGTGGGCATGAAAGCAGGTGTCTTCTAGTAGATATTCACTCTTTTACCAAATTAATTGAGGTTGAGTCTCCAAAAAATAATCAACTTTGACTGGCTCTGACTGCCTTTTAGACATGAATGCCCCAATTCCTCTTATTCCAGGAAGCACTCATAAATTAAAGTGATTTTTCTGGGAGGTGAATAGCTTTGAGGAAGGGTAAATTAAAGAGGCAATTCCCTGCTCAAATATTAAATTTGGTCCCATTTTGCTGAAAGATGCTTTCATCCTGGTTGTCCCTCAAGACTGTTCCTTTGCTCATCCTTGAAATGGACCTTCTCAGTCAGCACGTGATCTCATGGAAAGCTTTCACACTATTGGCGGGCACTACATAGTGGAAAACAGTTAATCTTCCCCACCAGTGTGAGTGGTAAATACTCCAAGATACCAAGCAAGGCAAAGCACTGCAGGATTGTGGTCTGTTATAGCTGACTTTGTCAAAGGAATTCTATTCTTTACCATGTTGCCTTTTAACTTCCTGGTATGGCCTATGTGTAAAGCCACTACTAGAGAGTGAAGGCTAACTATAGACTACAGAGAGTTAAGAAAAATTATTCCTTTTATTAGAGCACCTTTATTGGATAATTGCTTTAATGAATGACCTTCAAAACATAGGTAAATGGTTTGGGAACAGACTTAGCTAACGTGTTCTATTTAGTAAAAATTTTTCAGGAGAATCAATCACAATTTGCCTTCACATTTACTTGGTTGCTGTGGACTGAATTGTACCCTCCCCTTAATTCATATATTGAAAGTCTAACCCCCGATGTGATGGGATTTGGAGATGCGGTCTTTAGGAAGTAATTAGATTTAGATGAGGTCATGTGGATATGTCTTACTTAGTTTGGGGTGCCACAGCAAATTACCATAAGCTAGGTTGCTTATAAACAACAGATATTTATTCCTCACAGTACTAAAGACTGGAAGTCTGAGATTACAGTGCCAGCATGGTTGGGTTCTGGTGAGGGCCCTCTTCTCTGTTGCAGACTGCCAGCTTCTCATTGAAATCTCTCATGGCAGAAAGCAGAATGACTCAAGTTATCTCAGGACTCTTACAAGTACTAATCCCATTCTGATCTTCATCTGTTCTTAGCTCCCAAATGCCCACCTCCTAATACCATCATATTGGGAGGTAGGATTTCAGCATATGAATTTTGGGGTATGCAAATATTCAGTTCATAAAGTTTTACCTCTGAATTCCCAAAATTCATGTCCTTCTAACGTGTCAAATGGAAAAGACAACACACCAAAAGAGAAAGATATATTTGCAAATCATATGTCAGATAGGGGTATAATATTCAGAACATATAAAGAACACTTATAACTCAAAAACACAACCCAATTTAAAAATAAGCAAAGGAAATGAATAGACATTTCTCCAAAAAACACTATACAAAAGGCCAATAAGCACTTGCAAAGATGTTTAATATGATTATTCATTAGGGAAATGTGAAATCAGAACCAGGGTGGAAAGCCGCTGCACACCCACCAGGATGGCTACAATCACACAAAAAGAGCAAATGTTGGTGAGGATGTGGATAAATCGCTCACATATTGCTGGTAGGAATGTAAAATTTTATAGTACTGCGGAAAACAGTTTGACAGTTCCTCAAATCATCACATGACCTGACATTCAACTTTTAGGTATATATCCAGTAAAATGGAAGACATATGTCCTTACAAAAATTTGTACATGAATGTTCGTAGTAACAATATTCATAATAGCCAAAGAATGGAAGCGGCTCAGATATCTGTCCATCAGCTAATAAAGAGATAAACAAAATGCACTATGTACATGTTATGAAATATTCTTACAACCATAAAATAGAATGTAGTACTGATACATGCTACAACTTTTACAAGCCTTGAAAACATGGTGCTGAATGAATGAAAAAGCAGATGCAAAAGGCCATATATTGTATGATTCCATTTATATGAAGGATCCATCATAGTCAACCGCATAGTGACATAAAGCGGGCTAGTGGTTGCCAGGGCTGTGGGAGTAGAAAATGAGTAGTGACTACTTAGTGTTTATATGTAATGCAAATGCTCTGGAATGAGATAGTAGTGACAGTTGTACAACATTGTGGGTGTATTAAAAGTCACTGCATTTGCACATTAAGATGGCCAAAATGGTGAATTTTATGTTACGTGAAGAAAAATAGTCATGGTAAGAAATAAATAAAAAGAGAGAGATTGTAATGGGTCATAAGTTAAAATAGTTATATTGGTCTTTATTTATATTTTTATATATATCTCACTTTTTCTCAATATGATGTCAAAAATCTCAATATTTCCATTTAATTTAATTTTCCTTAATATTAACTTAGGAAAATCAAAGAACTACATAATATTGCAGTTATTAAGAGGTTGAAAATAAAGAAGTTGAAAATAAAGTGTTATCTTTCTTGGCATAATTTAATCATTTAATTATTAATTACTTAATATTAAGAGGGAGAAGGGGATACACATACAAAACTACAAGGAGAGTGATTTGAAAACTTTGTGTGGTTTTTATTTGCATTTTCTCTAATGATCAGTGATGTGAACCACGATGAGGTACTAACTCACATCAGTCAGAATGTCTATTATTAGAAAGTCAAAAAATAACATGCTGGTGAGGGTGTGGAGAAAAAGGAATGCTTATTCACTGGTGGCGGAAGTATAAATTTGTTCAGACTGTGTGGCAATTCCTCAAAGATCTAAAGACAGAAATACCATTCAAATTCAACCCAGCAATCCCATTACTGGGTATATACCCAAAGGAATGTAAATCATTCTATTGTAAAGACACATGTATGTGTATGCTCATTGCAGCACTATTCACTATAGAAAAATCAATCTAAATGCACATCAATAGTAGACTGGATAAAGAAAATGTACATATACACCATGGAATACTATGCAGCCATAAAAAAGAATGATATCATGTTCTTTGCAGAGACATGGATGGGGTTGGAGGCTATTATCCTTAGCAAACTAATGCAGGAACAGAAAGCCAAACATCGCATGTTCTCACTTATAAGTGGGAGCAAAATGATGAGAACACATGGACATATGGAGGGAAAAAACACACACACTGGGGCCTACTTGAAGGTGAAGGGTGGGAGGAGGGAGAGGATCAGAACGAATAACTAATGGGTACTGGGTGCTACCTGGATGTTGAAATAATCTGTACATCAAACCCCCATGACACAAATTTACCTATGTAACAAATCTGCACGTGTACCCCTGAACTTAAAAGTTAAAAAAAAACTGTGTGTGGATAAATTCTAAGTAACACAAATTACATCTTATCTAATCTCTCAAATAGCTATTTTATTTTGTTCATGCTATTTTTGTCACTATAATAGATCTTGGCATCAAAATTCCCATTATGTCTAGGTTTTGCTTCATCTCATTAAATTAATTGTCTTAACTTCCAAGGACCATCATTTGTGTTTTGGCCATCTTTTATGTCTGGACAATTTGCTATGAGTGATTTTATTGTAGCTCAACTCTTATTTTTACAATATATAAGTGTTGTTCTTACTGCCAATTTTCAGAGATGCATATGTACTTTAATTTCATTTTGTTTTCTACATTTCTCTGTAGTACTATGCCAATCAGAATGGCTCAAATACCAAGGGAAGTGTTATTGGTTCTCTAATGAGATGAAAAGTTGGAGTGACAGTTATGTGTATTGTTTGGAAAGAAAATCTCATCTACTAATCATACAGGACGAACTTGAAATGGTAATTGGTCTAGTATCAGGGTTATGGCATCTTTGCAGTTGAAAATGGCTTTCCTTAAATATCTTTCCATCTTTGCATTAAATCATCATTTACTTTGATTATGAAGTTTTGGGCACTGTCTTAAATTTTGTATTCCAAGCAAGGGCCTCACTTCTCATGCTGGATCTGGCCCAAATTCGTATATTCAACTTGCAATTGCATGTGTGTGTAACATATATATGATATAACGTGTGTATAAGTAAGATATGGATTATCATAAGAATCCCCATGCAGAGTGCTCTTTTGCAATAAAATTTAAAATCTTCAGTGTGTCTGAATTGCTGAAATATTTTGTTTAGTCCCTCATTGTCCACATTTTAGGCTTTTATACAGAAAAACCTAAGACAATCAAACTACGTATGGATGGGGCTTAACTTTACCTCCTTGAAAATGACATGGACTTGGGTGGATGGTTCTCCACTAGATCCAAAGATGTGAGTCAGTCTTAAAAGGCAATCTGATTTATTGTCTGTTGTAGAATATGTCTCCTCCAGGTTCACCAAATTCAACTCTGAAATAGTTACTGGTACTACAGAATTCAAAAGAATGAAAATTAATTTAGTATTTACAGGAGTAATGATGGATATTTTGATTTTATTTTTAAAGAAAAAGGATTTGAAAAAGGTAGTTTATGATTTTAAAATTTCTTACACTTTATATAGAAAAGTAGTTTGCATCAACGCGGTCTCCTGTTTTGAAAGTTCTCAATGCTTTCTTTAGCCATCTTCAGTAATAAAATAAAACCAATGTGCATTTTTTGTGTTATGTGATTATCACAATATTAAAATATAAACAATATATACAACATAGAACAAGATTATCCAAAAGTCTCTGAACAAATGCATGGAATTATTGATTTTAAAAGTTCTGTCAATATTTTTGTGTGCATTATTTTATAATAAAATATTTAATTAAAAATATAATTAGTAAAACAGGTAAATTCAAAATCCTATTCCTATGTTAGTAGGCATGATAATGGTCCCCAGAGATGTCCACATTCTAATCCCAAAACGCTGTGAATATGTCATTTTATATGGCAAAAGAGCCTTTGCAGGTATGATTAAATGAGGAATCTCGAGATAGGAATGTCATGCTGGATTATCTGGGTGGTCCCAATCAAATCCCTTAGAAGAGGGTGGAAGCAGAATTAGAGTCATATTGGGAGATATGAAGTGGAACGCAGAGATTCACATGATGTGAAAGCACCTCTGTGGGCCAAGGGACGCAAGTGGCCTCGGATTCCTCCCTAGTACATCCAGAAGGTGACTCTGGAGACATTTTGATCTTAGTCCTGTAGGGCAATCTTGGGCTTCTGATACTCATAAGTGTAAGATAACAAATTAACCTTGTTTTAGGCCACTAAGTTTGTGGTAATTTGTCATGGTAGTGATAGAAAAATAGTACATTATAGTAACCAACTTAATAGTGCTATTATTTTCCCCTTATTTCTATTTCATCATTAAATATTAAATATTTTCTATCTGACTGCACTAAATCAATATAAAAAGTGAATAAAAACATTATTTGGATTGAAGGATAAAATTATGGATGTGTGTCATCTGAGAGCAGAGTTGTGTCACTGAACATGACATGAAGTTGCCAAACTTTGTTTTGTCCTCTTGCCACATCCATTCAACACTACCCTTTAGGGTTGAGTTTTAACTCTAGATCATGCTTGGAGATTTTTGTCCATAATATATTCAATACAAAATTTAAATCTAAGCTTGGACAAAGTGTATTTTCTAATATGAAAATTCAGTACTTACTTGTCCTTATCAATTTGGAAGCATTGAAGATCACGTGCACCTTTTCCAAGGTTCTTTCTTGAACTTTTTCCACAGGTCAAACAAGTTTATCAGAATGTATCACTAACCCTACATTGTTTTATATATAAATTTGTTAATATTTTTAATCTGTTACATTATAAGTAAATAATGCAATAAGTATGGAATTTATTATTTAGGTCATACATAGGTGGCTTTGTGTATTGAGTTCTTTACAAACATCAGTTCATATAAATGCTAAACAATATCATGAAGTATTATTATCATCATCCTTATACAATTAGATATAAGAAGGAAAGAGAGGTTAAGTGAGCTGTCCAAATGGAGTTAATCTTATTTTTAATGTAACTGAACTACATGGGGCAAGAGAAGGAATACTAGAATGGGAATGTGGAGGGAAATTTATTCTCATCTCTGTTGCAGACTCTCTGGCAACTCTTGACCAACCACAGCTAACAAGGCTAAGTTACAGAGTTATTGTAATCATTAGTGAACTCAAGTATGTAAAAATAGTTTGAAATTTTGAATTACTTTTTTATTTAAAAGAGGATATTAGCAGAAGGCACAAATGGATGTCTTCAGCAACAGTGCTTAACAAAGTATTCATTCTCTCTTCCCCAGATTCTTCATAAAGGGACCAGCTAAAGAAAATAGCTGTGCTGCCATTAAGGAAAGCAAAATTTACTCTGAAACCTGCAGCAGTGTTTTCAAATGGATTTGTCAGTATTAGAGTTTGACAAAATTCACAGTGAAATAATCAGCGATCACTATATTTGGCCTATTAGTTTCTAATATTAATCTCCAGTTGTAGGATTTTAAAGTGCAATTAAATGCCAAAATCTCTCTTCTCCCTCTGTCATTGACACTGGTCTAGCCTCAGAGTAACCCGTTAACAAACTAAAATGTACCCTTCAAAATTTTTACTTGATAGTATAAACCAATGTGACTTCATGTGATCATATCCAGGATTTTTATTCATTGTTTATTTTATGCCAAATGTGATCAAATTATGCCTGCTTTTCTGTATCTTGTGTTTTAAATTCTTAATAATGTCCTAAGCAAAATTTCTTATTTCTAAGTGTTGAAATATAATGTGGATTTATACATTTTTTACCCTTTTATCAAAGAGAATTAACTTTGTTTCCAGGCTTTTGATACTCTGCACTCAGCTACAATAAACATCCTGAATGTTTTCTTAAATAGTAACACCTTTATTTCTATGATACAAGCCCTAAAAGTAGAATTTCTAGGTAAAAGTGTTAAATGTGTTGTTTTATATTTTGTACAATTTTTGTATGTTGCACTTTTGTTTCCAAATTTGGAAGCTTTCAAACTTATAAGAAGATACTAGGTGCAGAAAAAGAACATACTGCTTTTCTTGAACCTCTTGAGAATTACTTGCCAAATTGATGCATTTTATTATAACATTTCATTTGTTATTGGATACTTTTTGTGTATTTCCTTCCAAAAAAGGGGCTTTCTCCCACATAACCACAATAAAATTATGAAATTCAGCAAATTTACACTGACATAGAACTATCATCTAATTCTCAAATTTCCTTCAAGGTTTGCTATTTGTCAAAATAATGTTTTTAGAGTAAAAGCATCCAGCTTAGAATCAATGTCTACATCTGGTGACTATCATCTCTTTAGCCTCCTTCAATATGGAAGAGTGCGTGAGTCTTCCTTGACATTCATGACCTTGACACTTTTGAATACTACACGTTGATTATTTCGTAAAATGTTCTTCAACTGAAATATTCTGATTGTTTCTCATGGTTAGATTCAAGTTTTATCTTCTTGGTAGAAATGGCATAGAAGTGATGTAGTGAAGCTTGGTCTCTGAATCCTTTCAGGTGGTACACAGTTTTATTTGTTCCATTATTGATTATATTTATTTCATTCACATGATTGATGTAACTTCTGCTTGAATTCACTGTAAAGTTATTATTTTCTCATTGTAATTAATGCATATTTTGGGGAAGTGACTGAGATGGCCTTAATATCCCCTTCAGCTTGGGGCTACATTCTTCTTTTTTTTTATACTTTCAGTTCTGGGATACATGTGCAGAATGTGCAGGTTTGTTACACAGGTATACACGTGCCATGGTGGTTTGCTGCACCCATCAACCTGTCATCTACATTAGTTATTTCTCCTAATGCTATCCCTCCGGATAACAAGAACTCAGAAATAATGTACAGAGTTATGATCTAATAACAGGTGTATTCTAGCTTTTTTCCCCAGAAACTTAACTTCTTTTCTACATTCATTATACAGAAATATCAGATTTTAAAGCCTCTTGAGGCTGGAAAGCCAAACCAAGACAAACTTTAGATTTTTTCTATAGTATTAAGGTCTTTGAAACTTCTAGGAAGTAACAGTTTTCATTTACTCATTATAAGGCTGTGAACCTTCAAAGTTAAGCATGTTATGTGTATTGTTAAATATGACATTTTAGTCAAAGCCTTAGTAATGTAACCAATGTTTTTTAAATTGTATTCTACTATTAAGAGAGAGCAGAATTTTATTGGACTTACGGAAATAACTTTATGTAAATAACCGTATTGTCATAAGAATACTAAAAAGTACATTTGAAATTTTGAAAGAATCAAGTAAGGAGGAAAAATGCCAAATGGTTTTATCTTTTTTCACAAAAGTATATTTTATCAAATTACCATAAATTATAGGTCACTCAAGAGAGAAAATTTCTTTACACCTGAAAGATAAAACATTTGAGTAAAGGACCAAAAACATTTTAAATAAACATCATAAAAACATGATCAGTTATTGAATTTTATGTAATCAATTTTATTTCTGCTTGATCTTCATTAGTAATTTTATAAATCTACTATTTATTTTATTAGAGTTTTGGACATTTTTATTTAGTCTATTAATCTTAAATGTATCAGAAACCTGTATCTATAAGTACTTGTGGGGGTCTTTTATGAATCTGATTATGAATGTTTTTAGAGAAGAATTTAAAACCGTAGAAGAAAACAATTAGAATAGTCATGGTTAAAAACCTGAGGAAAGTTTATAATTGACAAGAAAATTAAGTCCCTTGTATTATAGATGGCATTTAAAAATAATAGCCAGAATTATGACTGCTAGAATATTAGGTATTTATGAATTTATACACATTTTGAAAAATATTTATAACAATAATATATTTATAAATGTAACTAAAAGATGATCTACTATTACTTATTGTTTGACAATGTTTTCTATATGATTTATCTAATAAGCATGATTATTTAACATTTCTACAGGATGAGAGTTATATCTTTTAAGGCTTTTCAGGGACCCACCTGGAGAATCCCAAACGTGATTTTAGGTGAAAAAGATTTAATTTATGATTTCATTTTGAGGAAGTTTATTAAAGATGTTAAAAGGCTCAAAACACTTGATCAGAGAGTGGGGCTTCAAGATAGCTGAGTACAGGTATCTGGCACCCGCCAGCTCCACAAAGAAGCAAAATGTCAAATAGATAATCACACTTTGAAGACAGCACCTGAGAGAGAACACAGTAGTTCAATAGCAAATTGATGGGAAACACCTAAGGTAATGAAGAAGAGACAGTCTTCCCGGCCAAGGCTGGCTAGGAAACCAGAGAGATTCTCCAGTGCAGAGAAAGAGTAAGTGAGAGATCCCCAGTGATCCACATTCCCAATATTAGACTCCTGGAATCCTTGCCATGGGAGAATCCAGTGATGGTTGCCGACCCTGAGACTCATATACCGAACTCTCTGGAGCTTCAGATATTGCTCCAGAGACAGATCCCAGCCTAGGTCCCGCATATTAACAGAGACCTAAGCAGCTGCAGTATAGCATAATTATGAGAGCTCAACTCCACCAGACTGCATCTCACCCATGGGCCTAACAGCCCCTCAATCTCCACATCCCTGAAACCCCACTGACACTCCCTCCCTACATCCAGCTGAAGGGCTGCAGTGGCACAACACTGGTGTGCTCTGCAGCACGGCAGTGTCCTCAACACTCTAGCACACAGTGTCCTACACACCAAGGAATTGGTGGCACAGTGCACTGGGGTGGCTGCCTTAAGACAAAGGGAGCCAAAATACATCTCACCAGAGCCTGATTCTCTCCTGGCTAGGGTTACTGCCATAACACTCACCCTGTCCTGCTAAGCCACAGGGTTGCTGCACATTCGCATTTGCCCTGAAGACTGGATCTCCCCATTCCTGCTCTTGTTGCTTCCACTATGAGGGATCTGAAGCATACACTGCCCAGCCTCTTGTCTCTAGCTGCTACCACTGACAGCAACCCTGAACCCCCCAGCAATAGGGCTGAAATGCACTTATATGTGTCCTGAGGGCAAAGTTCCTCCTCCAACCTCTGCCACTGTTGCCATCAACCAGGTACTTAGCCAGGGACCTGGGAATAACCTTGTCCCTACTAACAATAGCCTGTACCCATGCACAGCAACAGGAGGCCTGAGGAACAGGCTGCCTGGCCTGGCATTGCTCTGCTCAGTGCCTGAGCATGCCATTCAGGGGCCTGTGAATCATTACAACCTGGTCATCATTCTTGGTTCCTGTACACTCCCCTGGCAGCCTGAGGATGGAACTGCCCAGCCTTCCACTACCACCATAGCTGGCACCCACTCACATGTACTTCGTGGGGTCCTGGGGAATGGCCCACCAGCTTATTGCAGCCATTTATTTTTTTAAATTATTATTATTTTATTGAGACAGAGTTTGGCACTTGTTGCCCAGGCTGGAGTGCAATGATTTGATCTCGGGTCACTGCAACCTCTGCCTCCTGGGTTCAGGCAGTTCTCCTGCCTCAGCTTCCTGAGTAGCTGGGATTACAGGCATGTGCCACCAAGCCTGGCTAATTGTGTATTTGTAGTAGAGACGGGGTTTCTCCGTGTTGGTCAGGCTGGTCTCAAATGCCCGATCTCAGGTGATCTGTCTGCCTCAAACTCCCAAAGTGCGGGGATTACAGGCGTAAGCCACTGCGCCCGGCCTTTTGCAGCCATTTATAACCCAACAAAGGCCACTTGGAGGCCAGAGGATTATTCCACACTGCTGGAATGATCTCATAATTGCCCATGCCATGCACACTGCCTAAGGATCAAAGACTTGCCCCCCTACCTGGCCCACAGCTGCCACTTCAGGAATTCAACAAAACCAGCTGGAGGACCAAAAATTGGCCTAATTCATCTGGTTAACACCAGATGCTGACCTGGGACCCAAAGACAGGCATGATTGGCCCACTGCTGCCACCACTGGGGTCTGAGGACTGGCCCACTTGGCATCCTTGTCCCCAAAAAACCTCACCACAGCCTCCACTAACAATCACACCCTAAGTCAATGTGGAAACCACAGACACTTTAGATGCTGCTTACAGTGTAATTGTTTCTCCTTATAGAATGTTCATTTAGATAATTTGGAAGTTGAACCTGATGAAAAGGACACTTGAATTTAATCAGACACAGGAACAATGTGTCTAACATTATAAGTGCAACAATTAGATACATCAAGAAAAGCAAAGAGTACAAAATCAAATTATATTGAAGGAAAACACTGCTTTTCTAGGCCTTCATGGTAAGTATTTTACTGTCAGGACATAACAGCAGAGTTAGAACCAGAGGAAAAGAGTTACTGGAGTGGACAACAAAACAAAAAGGCCTTCTCAAGGTTCTCGATGGTATTAAAACCCAAGGTAGTGATGTATGCCTGCAAATCACGTGCAGTGAGATACAGCAAAACTTGAACCACTGAGATATGAATCTGAGAAATTTGGAAATGAAAATTTTGTTTCAAGAAGTGAAATTATTATGTAAATGAATAGGAGAGCATGTTTAGCCTGTAACTAGGGAAATTAAATAGACCTCCAGGAAAAAAATGGCTGAAACAGACACTGTGGTTTAGAATAAGGCTGGTAAAGACACAGATTTTGTGATTATAAATCAAACCTCTTGCAATTTTATGAAGAGCATATACATGTTTTAAGAAAACCTTGTAGTTTCAAATATTGAGGATCAGGTTCTGGTCAAGTATCAGTGCACCCTTGATACCAATATTTACTTTTTAGAAAAACACATAAGTATATTTTTCTCAATCTCACCACATAAAACCTCTTTTACAAGACCCATTTTTTTTTTTTTTTTTTTTTTTTTTTGAGACAGAGTCTTGGCTCTGTCTCCCAGGCCTGTTAGTGAAGTGGCCCTTGATCTCGGCTCACTACAACCTCACCTCCCAGGCTTCAAGCCATTCTCCTGGCCTCAGCCTCTGAGTAGCTGGGACTACATGCCATGCCACACACCCCAGCTCATTTTTTGTATTTTTAGTTAGAGACGGGCGTTTTCACCATATTTGCCAGGGCTGTCTCGAAAACTCCTGAGCCTTTTGATCTGTTCCGGCTCGGCCTCCCAAAGTGCTAGGATCATAGGCGTGAGCCACTGCACCCGGCCAAGACCCATTTTTTGTAACTCTTCTTTAACTTGCTTAGACCTTCTATAATTTTTTTAAAACCTCCGGTCTTAGTCTTATAATTTTTGGTTTTATTTTTTCTTTTGGGAAAACCAACCATTTTATCTTAGGAAAGAAAATTATTATGTAAGATTTTTTTCACACACAATTACCCTTTAAAATTTATATTTTGATTGAAAACCTATATGTTATTAGTCTTTTTATAAGATTTAAGATGCTAGAAGGAACTTATTTAACAATTTGTTTTAATTTTTTAACTTGAGTATTAACCAGACATTTAATGAGTACCTAATATTTAACTTAATGTAAGGTAACTTTAAAATTTTAAGTTATATGAAAACTTCATTTATAAACATTTATTTTATCAATAATTATCTAATTTATTTATTAACAATTATATCTGAATTACTTATGAAAATTCAGATATTAGAGCTACTCATTTAAAGTTTTTTTTATTGACCAATTTGTAGCTGGTTAATATCAGATGTTAATCTAAGAAGCTTGAAGTTAAATGCATGTACATCTCATCGTTAACCCAGAAGATATATTTGTATTAAATCATAATTAACTTTTAATTAAATATATTATTAATTTAATAATGGACATCAAACCATTATTTAATAATTTAATTTA